CCCCAAAACCCCAAAACCCCAAAACCCCATGATTGCTAATTTTTTGAAGTAAAAAGGAATAAATAATAGTTTATCTTTGAATTTAATGGATCGAAATTAAAATAGATATCAATCTTATCAGTAACCCTAGAACTATAATCAAAGCTAGAGCCACCAAACATCATTTATGAGATCCTAAAATCCAAATGAATTTGCACCCAGCTAATATCAATCTTTTGCTCTATAATAGCCTCGTTAGATGAATAGACCCCATCAACATTAGCATTCATAACATAGCATTCAGCAATAGCAACAATACATTCACTAAAGTATAATATCTGAAGTGATAATCACCTCGGATGTTCTTAGATCATGTCTATTCCATTCTTATCTCACGCAGTCTGAGGAAGTTGCAGGACTTCTCCTAGGATTCAAGGAATTCGATCAGAACGGTCGCCAGACTGTATATTGCTTTGCAAGCATTGCATAGTAGAGAATGATTAAGGAAAAAGATCGAGTTGAAATCGATGCTATACAGATGTATGAAGCATCCATTGAGGCTGAAGCTTTGTCAAAGGAGAATGATTTCTCAGCAAAAGTCGTAGGATGGTATCATTCTCATCCAAATATCACTGTATTCCCATCCTAAGTTGATATCAATACTTAATTCAACTCTTAGCTTGGAGGAAATGATAGCTTTATTGGTTTAATCTTCTCAGTGTTCATCACAAATAATCAAAATAATATATCAAAGACTGAGATCATCGCATTTCAATCTTATGAAGACCCAAATGACCCAGGCATTAAGAAAGCCTGCACAATTCCAGTTAAAATCTTAGATCATAATGACTTCATTCTCCTCTATGGCCAAGTCAAAAAGCACGATTTCTTTTACAATGTATAGCATGTAAGTATTGAAATTTACTTTTTGAGAGGGGTGCGCTAATTTAATAATTTGACTATAGATCTAGAAAATACTGCTTCAGGAATAGGATCAGGATTATAAATTAGCACAGAAGAATCTGCAAGACAAGAATTTATAAAAGCTTACTAATGCCTCTTCCAATATAGGAGGATACTGCAAGATACTTGAAAATCTCAGCAATCCAACAGATATTACTCTGTCCTCGTATCATAAAAATCTGGAAAAAAATGTAAATCTTGAAATAAATCATCGTTAATTATAGTTGAACGCAGTAAAGAAGGAGAATGAAATATTAGAGAAAAATATAGATAACATGGAACTAGAAATCATAAAAAGAAAAACATTGTTAGGGTTGATTAAAAATCCCACTACACCTGGAGGTCCTCCGACACCGGGTGATAGCATTGAGTAACTACCATAGTTTGGATCTGGAGTTAGAAGCAATATGAGAGGTTCTTTTGTATAGCCAAAAAGTAAGATTGATGATAATTAGTAATGAAATTAATAATTAATTTTAATTAAGTAGTAAATCTAAGAGATACTATTATCATCATAAATTTGGGCAAATCACTTTTTGCCCCTGCCTTTTTGGTATTTGGAATATACATATGCCAGATTTTTCAGAGGGTTTGTAGAGTACAGGCCACTTAATATCATTTCTTTAGATGTCTTATATACTACAGATTCAAGATTTTTCTGCACATCCTCCTAAAGTTCCCTTAAGCTAAGCTGGACTACAGACTTCTTCATATCTGTTTTTAGTCTATCTGGTATTCGGTCAAATAAATACTGTACATTTGTAGTAGAAGCCTTCATTTTAAACATCTCGCTATCAACTTATTCCAAGATGCCATCATTGACTAGATTTTTTAGTCTAGGCTGATAAACTTCATTCAGGAGATCGAAACTACCTAGGACAACGTTCTTGACTTTATTAGGGTTTTCCATTTTAAACCGCATTCGAATATCTCCTCTATAGGACAAACTACACAAGTCAGTGTATAAGTCCATCAAATGAACATTCTTTTGCTGGTGAAAGTTCATAAAAATCGCTTAATTCAAAGCCATGTCTCTATTTTTCTCATTTGCCAAATGCACTTCTTGATTTTCTTATTCATTAATGAAGGTTAAGATTGGTTTTTGTAGTCTACCAGCAAAAGCAAAAGCATTCCAGCTAATCAAATCGTTAACAGCGTTTTCTGTGCTTATTACTCCGTATTTGATCTTTCTGAGATCTTTCGCACTTGGATCATACTGATTCTTAAAGGTCTTGATAGGTATTAGTGGGTTAAAGTAGATACAAGAGCCACCATTATTAATAGCATTAGTTACTCCAACAGGCAATCTCTTTGTATAGAAACTATAATGTGAATGATTGTCTGTGTTCATATTTTCCTCATGAAACTTATAAGTGTCATCAACTATTAATATCATATCAATAACTTAATCTTTCTAGTAGTATGTTTATCTCAAATAAATAAATACCTACATCTTCAAGGTGATAATTTGATTGCTTAAAAACTGCTGAGCCATAACCAAACGCATATTTGATATGACTAGATGGAAAATTATGTTTAACTAAATGGCTTAAAAATTCTTTCATTTTATTTATAAAAATAGCTTATAAATTAAAGGCTTTAAATTTATTATTACTCATAAATGGGGTTTTGGGGTTTTGGGG